ACTTCACTGGGAATTTGATGAGCAAGAAGTATAACGTTGAAAACGATGCTAAAACGATTTTGAAGATATTAACAATATTAATTTTCATTAATTAGAATTGGATGCGCCTGGAGCGAAGTTGATTTCGTTCTGGTATTTTGTAATTACATATCCTTTGCAAATTTCATAATTAATTTATGCCCATTAGATAATGTTTTTGGTAAAATTAATTGTTATTGTTCATAGGAAAGTTGTTATTGTGTGCATATTAAGTTTTACCAATTTAATTACCTCACGAGGGAATATATAACTGTTTTTCAAGGGTAATTTGCTTATTTAATTAAAGTCTCATTTACATTTGCCTGATATCGAAACCGAACGATTTCCACCTGTAAAGATATCATCGTAGGTGTCGCGTTAATCACACTGTCGCGTAGTTTTGTTAATTTTCCGAATATCTGAAAATTCAACGTATAATTTTTATCGACATGGATGGATAACGTATTACAAATTCATCTGGTATAATTATAAATTCAAACAACCTTTTTATTAATACCCTTCTCCTATTTATATCGTTATCAAATGTATCATTTTGCGTAACACCTTACTCCAATCATCGTATTTCAATTTCACAGTCACATATAAATAAATTTACTAAATTTCGAAAGAAAAAGGAAATAGCATACACACGTATTTATCAGGATGTGTTTATAATCTGATAAAACAATGATAACGATCGATCGAATAATTATCATGGAGCATCACGTAATCCACTTATCGCAAAAGTCAAACAGCAAAGTATTAAAAACACGTTGTTATTGGAAAAATTTATTCGACGATTAGTATACTCGTAGTAAAAACATTTCGATATTATTTCACGTATTATAAAGCTATACTAAGACTTATGTTAACACTAGAACTATCACATCAGTCAAATTGATTGGTTTTGCAATTTTATTTTAAAATTCCTACTTCGTGTTATATCTTCTTCCGCAATGGTGCAATGACTTTCGCAATGATAGCTAAAGGAATAATATTTTTAAGAATTTTATTTTGTTTTTTATGTATTCAAACTGAAAATAATTTCGTATTAAAGCTACTTATACAAATACCAGTCAAAATGATTGGCACTTGTCGAAGTGTAAAAGGGTTCTGCAATCTGTTTATCGAACCCCAATTAATCAATTTCCTCGTTCCGTACAACTTGTCACACGTTTTGAAAATTTTTACTGCGTATCATTCGATATGACGATATCAATTATCAGGAAAATTGCGAATCGATCGCTAGACGCCAACGCTAGAAATGCCACAGCAGTCAAAACGACTGGTTCTACTATTTTATAAATGTGTCAATCCTCGTTTAAGGACGATGGTCCCGGATGGATTAATAATATCAAAAATATACTACATAACATGGAATTCCTTCTGTAAGAAAGTAGTAAATCGAAAAATGTAAAAATATTCCATTATTACGTATTTTTTAAAGACCAGTCATTTGGACTGGTTGTGGTAGAAACAGCTTCGTGTTAACTATCGGTAGTTCTAGCGTTAACCATTAATACGTTGACTGTCGTGTCACCCGTATTTGGACGACAGCAAAGTTTCCGATCGAGCCGTGTCACCCTAGTCGTGGGATGCTTATTTGCCTACTTGCGAAGGATCGTCGTAAGTATTTGAAAAGATATTCCACAGGAAGTAATAAAACTATCGAATTGTTATAAAAGTAATACGAAAATGGTTTATTAAGAAAATTACTTAGAATGTAAAACTTTAAAGCATTCTGTACAAAGCTGAGGTTGGTCGGGACAATTTGCACGATAAGTGGTTGTTTTCTTTAAATTCGACGTCTTTTATCCGCATAACATAGTTTGCGTGCGCGTCTAACGCTTCTTCCGGAATTATTTTTCCAAACGGCGACATTATGCTGACTCCGTCGAAGACAAGGATTTTTTGTATTCTCAGACAAGCCTAATATTTTTGCAGCCAATAATTCTCTAAATCTTCTAATATTTACATCCTTCCTTGTTGCAATTTCGTAAACCGTGAAAGCGTTTACAACAGAAATTCCCAGAAGAAGTCGAATGCCAAGTTTTCGTTACCATTTGATTCCTTTTCTAACTGTGGTGGCATAAGAAACCATTTGGTCGGAATAATCTACACCACACTCGTGGCCTGAAGGAGATTTCATTGAAAACAGGCGCGGCAGTCAACGTGCTAAGGATTATAATAATTCGTGTGAATTGTGAAATTTCTCCTCGACGCGAGTATCGTCACTCCCGTTCCATTTTTATCCTTTTTAATCGTCCAGGTTAATTACAACGTGCGTGACGCGCGTACTCTCTGATTATGATTGAAACCGTTTCGGTGCTAATTACGCGCGTAACAAATTATTGTCGCGCAGGTAAAAATTCACGGGCTCTGTGGAGAACGAACGTCGGTCTCTGGTTTCGTTTCGATCGAGCCTGGCGGCGCCTTTTGTTCCGTGTCGCGTTGCAATTTCAAGAATTATTTCACGCGACATCACTCTAGCTCGCGGGACGTCACGTCAAACTACGCGGGGCGTGTAAAAATGCTACATGACTTGACAAATATTGCGTACTTATCATGCGTCCCAAAGCAACACGCGATATCTTAACACGTTCGTTTACAGTCGGTGAGAAAAATAATTGGACAGGTGGTGGAAGTGGGTATCGATGAACTATAACCGAACTAATATCGTGCAGTGTCACATACTTCAATCTTATTTCTTACGTGTCTTTGTAGTTTTATTTAGTAAATAACTGAAATACTAAACGAGACTGGAGAAAGACTAACAGAACTAAAGACAATAATAGAGAAGAAAAGGGCAATACAAGACGGGGAGGAACGGCAATAAGGAAGCACAGGAAGGAGGCAAAAGCCCAAAAGTTGCCATGGTTTTAGAGACAGAATAATTAAGGGAGTGCGATATAATAGAATGGATAAGAGGAGAGGTAGATATACAAGAAGCGAAATAGGTAAACGAGATGTAAAGCCGAAAGCTCGTCCAAAGCCGAAAGGCACGGACTAAGCAATAATAAATAAAAAATAAAATAGTAAATAATTGAAATTAATATTTATACGTTTGCGTAAACACCTGCGCCTATTTCCATTATCTGTCCACGTATTTTTGTCTCCTACTGTATATATATTGTATATATCTTTTCACGGCGAGTGTACAATTAGAGTTTCGAAGTCAATGTCGCGAGAGCAATAGCGTCGAGTCTCGCGTTTCTGTTGTCCCATTTTCACATTTCTTTCGTTTCGCTCCTCTTTATATTCTTGTTTTATTTAATGCGCGCGAAAACAGAATTCCAATAGCGTCAATAGGATTTAAAAAAAAGGGGGGCAAAAAACGGGAGAAAAAAGAAAGAGAAAAAATCTTGCCACATCGATAGCCGACGCTAAGCCGTTACTGAAAAATTGCGCGCTCCGAAAATTGGATTATACTTTCAGGGTGATTTCGGTCGCCCCCGGTGAGGCTTTGGGTGTATTTTTAATCACTGTATTAAATCATAGTAGTATCTAAAACGCAGTAGCTCCAAGAATGTTATTAAGCGAATAACGGAATTAATAGACTAAAGTTTCATGAACTTTAACCCCTTAACCTACGATTTGCGTTCGAGAATTTTGATAGTTAGTTTTGATAGTTTTGATAGTAAATTGTTGACTGTTAATAGTTTGATAAACCTTTTTGTTGAACATCAAGAGAATTTCTTGTGGGTACCTTCACCAACCACCTCAAATACACGAACGAAATTAATTCGAATCGAATGTTTCCAAATATCTTCTGAAAAGGGATATTTGTTATGCGATAGCGAAATATTATAGAATACTATCTTTTATATGTTATTAGTTACTAAATTATTATTCGAAAAGTTTTTAATCAATTTTTTTAACGGATCATATTCCCTCGAATTACCTCGTGTCCGTTATGAGACATTATATTTCCTCATCTCCGGAAACTTTTTAACAGACTGTCGTCTTATCGTGTCTTACATCACATCATTTTTCGAACGATACTTTTTGATAGCTGATATTGACTGGACGATATTTTCGGCGAAACGGATATCGGAATCTCTGTCATCGATTCTTTTCTGTCGCCATTGCGTCCTAAATTATGCCGAAAATTATCCTCTTCTTGGAACGACAACAGGCAAAAGGGAAATTACATCGTTCTTTGCTGATAATATTCTTCTCGCCGAAGAAACCTGACCGATCAGCTCGATTCCTCTTTGAAACATTTTAAACGGTTGCTCGAGGAACAATCGATCCTTCCGGGAGAATAAGGGTGGAGGATGAGGAGCGAAACTACCGCCTGACTCGACACTATCCCGATTTCATATTCGATACAAAAAAAGAAAAAAAAGAAAGAAATATCGATAATCCGTGGATTATATTAATAATCTCAGCTGAAATCTGACGTTTCGATCTGCCTTGTTGACGTCGATATTATCATCTAGAATTGAATATTTGACGGTGTGGTTGAGTATGCCGATTACACGCGAAGAGAATTTAAATCTAGTTTAATCTTTACGAAATCAAGCCAATATTGCGATCTTCTGCAATTCTTCTGCAAATCTTCTATAAATATACAGCGCGTGTCACAGGAAATATTTTGCAATCTTGTTCGCGCTATAACTAGATACCAACGTGCTAAGATACTAAGATAATACCAACGTGGAATATCAAAAATTTTCTTTTTTTTTTAATTTGATAGAATTCTTACGATCAATTCTCATTGACAATTAAAAGTACATTATTTTGGCGTGGTACTGTAACTTGCACTATAAGAGTGTATAGTATGTTTGATCATAGTTGAATCTAATGCCTTAAATCTAAAGGCCATTGTATTTTTAATCTGCGGATCTGATCCGTCGTGTCAAGTAATCGGGTAACTAATGGGTTTAACTCTTACATTATATCTGTTACTGAATAAATACCAACAATTAGAGCGATTATCGTAACGTTGGCGCGAAGCAACGTTTGTTGGCAGTGAGAAATCGAGGTCGTGATATTCATCGTTGACGCGACACGCGTTTGCAATCGAATAGAGGAATAAAGAAGTAAGCTACGGTGAATGGTAGGTTAAAAAAGAGAAGATAAAAAGAGAGAGAGGGAGAGAGGAAAAAGAAGAAAATCGCGGAACCATACCGGTAGAAGGATAATTGGCCTGGCATTCTATCCAGCATAAATCGACATAAAGGATCGTAAATCAATGGCGGTTGGCCGTAAATAGCGGGATACTTACAATACACAACCATGGAGCCGCTTGCAGACTGCTCGTCCGCGTAAGTGAATATGACGCACGTGTACTCGCCGGTAAGATCGATACCGGGCTTATTCAATTTCATGGCTCGGTACTTGGTGTACGGATCGTCGCTGGCTTTGTACTGCAGGTCGATGTACTTCCGCGCGGTATCTCCAGCCAAAGGTTCCCTGCCGTATATCCATTGGTAAGCCACTTCGTTGGTGTTGAAGAACCATTTCACGACTAATCCCTTGCTCGGCGTGTTCTCGAGATCGTAGTCACAGTCTAGGATCACGTAATCGGTGTCGTCGGCCTTCACCGTCGCCGGTACGTTCACGCTTTTTATCACGAGTTGCCAGCATTCTGAAAAATCGTAAAAAGATCATCGTTAAGAAAAAAAATTCTGCCAAGAGAGATCGTCGGAAGGACGAAGAAAGGCTTGGCGATTCTTTCCGTATGCTATTTCCTCGTTTTCTCGAGGACCGATTCGCTGTACTATGGGCGGAGAAACGTGGCGAGAGCTGGTGCTCTCTCCGCCAGTGATCGACAAGGGCAGGCTTCAGGTTTGATTTTTCGCGGTTGGAAGATTTTCAGATTTCAAAGTTGCCAAGTTATATTTTTATAGTTTATAGGGAATTTAAAGGTGTACAGATTTATGGAATGCGTGAAAATGTAGAAAATATATGTGCCAAGTATAGTACACTCGTTATAACGTTTCAACTTCTCAGGCGTCGAACCGATCTGTTTTCGCTTCTTCTTAATCTTTTCGTTTCACTCGTGCCAAGAAATTGATACAAACGATGGTAAATTCTAAGGTACATTTAGAAAATTATGTTTATGACATCATCGCTCTTGCGTAGTTTCCAATTTGTAGAATTGTTAACGTAGGTTCTACCGCTTTAGTTTTCTTCGTAAAATCATGAATTTGCATAAACATCCAGACAGTACAGATAAAATACTTCTCTTAATTTTCGTATCACCGAGGATACGTGGGTTTCGTAGAACTCGTAGATCAAACAAACATCTTCTCGTCTTTACAAGCTCGTCTGAAAAAATATGTTTCTCGCAGGCTGAAAAGGAATTCGGCGTTGAAAAAGCTAAATACGTAATTGATTTATCGATGTCTCGAACCCAGAAACACGATATTCGAAGGTGATACGATTGTTTGGGATTTTCGAGGATGGAATTCTAGATTCGTCGCATCTTCTGTCCCAAACGTGTCGTTGATGTTTCAGCAATTATTGCGCAAATGAATGTATGCATTGCGTTGGCTAGGACATGTTGCATAACAAATGACGCGAAACGGAAATTACTGTTTAACTGTTACGGAGAACGTTATTGCGATATTGTTGCAACGAGATGATTGCGTAATTATTCATCGTGGAGCAGCGTTGCCTTGAGTACACTGCGACGAATTTCGTACGGTCTGATGCAATCCACTTTTCTATGCGAGCCGGCACCAAGTTTGAAAATGTTTTGAAATTCATGAGCGCTGCACGCTGGAAAATCAAATCAGTTTCAACGCATATGTTTTATTCGTTCATTGTTTTCTTCGTTTTCGAAAAATCGTGCCGCGTCATGGACTCGGATAGTTGCGTGCTTCGTATAATCAATAATTCACGTGACAATTCGCAAATACGCGCGAGCGTTGCGTTATCGTGTATTCAACGCACTCGCAATGTAATTTAAATAGAGTGGCAAAAGAAAAGTATTTGGCAACTTGCAGAAAGCCATTTTGACGAATACGTTATATAGGAAGCATTTAAAAATTTTATTAGCGTCATAACCGGGCGGAAATATTATTTTTTCACGATTATTATTATTCAGATTTTTATAATTATATATTCTGTTATTAACAGTTAATGATTTTATTATCGAGAGTTGGGAAAACTGAAATTTTTAATATTCGAAGAAGAAACTTTGCAAGCCCTCCAACGTGCCAGAAACTATTTTAATTGGCCATTAAACCGCTTCCATAATGCTGATATTTTTTTTAAGTAACGCACCAACTACATTTTCCGTCGATTAAAGCACCTGCGACGATATTAAAAATTTTACAGCTGCAAAAGTTTAAAATTACAACGGCTTATGTACGTTTCAATTATTATATCAATCTTATCGAAGATATAAAAAAGACACGTTGCTCGTATCGTATTGCGCAACCGCAACAATTACAAGTACAGTAAGAAGAAAAACAGAAGAATGGACGGCGATAATTATGAAATATCATTTTGCGGAAGGAACAGTTCGCCTATCTAGCAGAAAAAATAGCTTCTTTCATCACCGGTTCCCTGACTTTTTTCCATCTCCAGCCCGGTACCTTTCTTGCCACGCGTAAACGCTGTCCCGCGTGTCTCACTTTTTCACCAGCTGGAAAGTTCCCGGCAGCGGAGAAGCACGCCGCTTTGTCCACGACGAGAGTTCTTGCGGAAATTTATGGGCGCTGGTGTCAGGATCGCGCGAAAATTTTCACTTTTCGCGGCCGCCAACTTACCTACCGACAAGATATCCGTACGCTGTGCCGACAGAAGTTAGCCGACCGCGAAACTACGTGGAAACGTACAGCGCCCATCGTTGCAATTGTGCGTGATCGTGCCTTTCGGCTTTTCCCCATTCACCGCCTTGAATTCCTATTCTAAGCTTGTCAGGGTAGCACAATGCTGGAGAAATGTAACTGGTGGGGAATTTTTCGGACGCAGCGAGGGCATTCGAGATGAACTGAAAAGGCAAAGACGATGGGATGGGAGGTAACAATGGGAGACTGAATAAAATACTAACGCACTGAGTACTAGAGCTAGTATTTAACGTCAAGCTTCGGCTAAGAGATAGGAACTTGGTTCGGTAAATATGTATTTAATTAAACTTTATATCGCCAACTCGTTTACCTGTTATCGTTATTAAGCGTTTAAATACACCTATTGTCGGTAAACAATTTCATCCGCTGCATAATCGGTTCCACGAACATCGAAAGAGGCAACGCAATTGTTTCCTGCTTGCTGATCGTAATGGACCCTTGTTTCGCAGCGAACGAATGATATTTGGAAATGAAAGACGCAGGAGAGAATCTTTCTGCCGTTTATCATAAATATTTGCCGTAGTCGAAGTAGCTGCGCAAGTTTTGTCGATATTCTCGAGTTCGTCGCAGTGGATTGCTAATTGTCCTCGTTAATTGTCCGCATGGGTGAAATCAGTTCCGCGCGTTACAAAGGGTTGGTGGAAGGAACTGCCGGCCACAGGTTTTCCTCCAAACCGTTCGTAATTTCTGTTTGATGCCACGTTTACAAATAAATCCTCAAGTACCGCGGAAGGAACGCCGGTAACTTTGTCAACTTTGATTAAGGGCCTGGCTGGCCGGGCGGTTTCAAAGGACCGGAGCTACATTTTCCAGTGAAAGGTACAAGGGGCGTTGCAAACAAGACAACACGGTGGAAATCTACGTATCCGTAGCGGAGAGTTTCCCAACGACGCCGACATGCATCACGGTAACTTGCCAGGGAAGGTCATCAGAAGTTGAAGAGTGTCCGGCCGTGTGCATTACAAATTAGTGTCTTTGAACTAGTTCCGACCACTGTCATAGACCACTCATCCTCACGTCCCATATATCCAAGCTGTTTGTCTCCAACCCGAAATTTCATTCATAGCTTCCGGGCAATCGCCTGTTCTATCTTTCGTTGGTTTAATCAGACTAACGACTTTCGATGGACGCGATCCCGTTGAAATTGTTGGGAATTTTATCTTTAAAAACAGGGGGTTAATGGAGATCGATGTCTCGTTGTTATGAATAATATGCAATAGGATGTACTAATTGAAATTATACAAATACAAGGCTATAAAGACGATGGAAATTAATAATATACGGTACAAAAGAAAAATCTCGATATTACATCGTTAGCTTCAAAAATCTTGGAAACGTGAAAAGTGAGAATTTGGTTCGAGTGGTGAAATTATACGAACATTATATGCCATTATATTCGTTGTAGATCGCGGTTTTTTGGTAGAAGCGCTCAAATTTCTTTTAGAGAAACTGAAAAAGGAAATGTACAGATAGGCAAAACAGTTAAAAACGAGAGTTAAGAGTCGACAGAGTTCGTAGTTCGGAATTGAGGTTATGTCGAGGCAATATCTCGTTGAACAGAATAAGAATAATAAAATCTATATTTTATTATCGTACTATTATCGTACGTATAATTATTATCGTACTATTTTGTATTCTACAAGTTAAAAAAGTCGATCTATGATCAAACGTTTCATCGATATCTCTATGGAAACAGACCTAACCTCAATAACTGATATAAATCGCTATGGCGTATATTCTACAACGAAGAACAGCAGCAGGGAATCACCGAATTTCGAAAATACTTAAGGAGAAAGAAATTCCTAGATGGAAAACTATTTTAGATGGAAAATGTTGAAAGTTCGAGCTCGTGACGCATTTGAATCGACAAAAGCGCGAGAACGAAGCATGAAAAGGGTGTTGTAACTACAGGCGTTGCTCGTTGAGGAAGAATTCAATTTGTGCGCGTTTACCGCGCGAGACAAGAGCGCGGTCCCTCTTGGTTGCCGCATTTCATCGATGTCGATGTTATAGCGCGATGATAATAACAATGATAATAGAGCAGCGTTGGATGTTTGTTCGGCCGATAATACAGAAACAATTTCAAGGATAACAAAGGAACGGGATTACAACGTTGGACGGTTGATGAGAAGAGTATACAGTCTCGTGTTTCGAGGCTGTTGGAGCGTCCACGATGCATAAATCGTTAAGTCGCTTAAATGGAAAGCCGAGAAAAAATTCACCCGCATCCCGTCGCATTGTAAACCGGTCCTGGCAGATTCATCGTTTCATCGAGTTCAGTTTGACTAACGATAACCCCCTTTTTCCCCAGTCCACTTCGTTTCTTTCACGCGTGCTTTATTTCTCGACTTTAAAGTTTGTAAGGTGTCGTTGTCTGTGAATGCGACTCATTTATTCTCGTAACCGGGAAAGACGATGAGCGTTAAAGGATGGGAAGAAACGGGTTTATAATTTATTTATTTGGATCCATTAGAGCACGAATAATAGGAAATACTATTCAGAAGTGTAATATCGTGGACGAAAGGTCTAAGAGATATCGGGCGAACTATAAACAATGTCGCGAGAAAGCCGAAGTGCCGACAGGCCCATCACTGTGTCACCGGTCCTTCGATCGAGCAGTTTCATGGAAAAGGCCTGCGTGGCCCTGGTCACGAGCGGTTGCGGAACACGTGCGTGGTGGGGTTGAGACAAAAGACGAAGGGATGCTAAGGGAGAAAGACGAATTAACAGTTAGTGTCAGTGGAGAAACCGGAGAGTGCGAACTGCGTTGTCGAGAGAGCGTGGTCCGCGTGAGAGAGAAAGAGAGCGTTGGATCCGTCGTGGCGAGAGTTGCAAATTGACTATTTAGTTGTCTAAATTATAGTACGCTATTGCGATTAGTTCGCGTTAAAGAAGCATCGTTTCCTGTTTAATCAACGTCTGTTTAATCTACTCATTGTAAATAAACTAAACGTAATAGTAAGATAATACAGAAGCAAGGAATGAAAAAAAAATGGCTTGATGGATAATACGAAGGTTCGTTTTCTACGTAATACGTGCCATGAGAGGAAACAGTTACATTGAGAAATAAGTCAATCGTAACACGACTCGTAAGCGTCTGCACAAGTACACGCTAACTGAGAATTCAACTGGTATCGCGTAAGAAAATGTCAGATGTAAAATATAAACACAATCCGATTTCGCGATTGTGCTCCCATTAATGTCAGATTACAACAGCGCAAACTGCAACAACAGACTAAGAACAGAGTACACGAAGCATTAGCAGAGAACTGGCATGATCCATCAAACGGAGCCCATTTCCAAAGAACTTCCTCGCCTACGTTATTTCGATTCCATTTTAACCGCGTTTGGTGGTAACGTTTTCCAACATCATCATTCGTATCAAGGTGTTCCACGAACGAGGCACGGCCCGGCTAGTAACGTCTGGTGGCATTAAGCCGGGGAACGAGCGATTTTCTTGGCAGCTAGCGCACCGAGTGCAAATAAGAAGGGAGAGTTAACGACCCTGAATTACGTGTAACATTTCATTTTTGCGGAATGATAAATCGTCGCATACATATTGCGTCGCAATGACATTACATACTGACACGTGAACGTGATAAAGAAACAAGGGAGTCGCTTAAACACGCAGCCGTGGCGAGCACGTAATCGCTAATGCAGCTTTGGCTGACCAAGAGATGAGGTATAAGTCACTTTTCACAGGCTACATTCTGACAAACGAGTTCTCTTCTGCTCTATTTACCAGTTACCATTAGTGACAAGCTCAAGTACGCGCGTAAGTAGGTTAACATTGGCTGACTCGATTCTATACAACTCTTTATAAGCATTTCGAAAAAAGGAAGCAGTACTTTAGGAAACGAAGAAAATACGCTCAAGTAGAGTGGAACATCGATCGAATAAGTTTGAAATTTGATGAGCATCTTAGCAGAAATTCTCCGTTCTCTTAAAATCATTTTTACTTGTTTATTTTTCACATACCATCGTCGTAATTGTTTACTACGTATCGCGAAGCAACGATTATTTGTGTAGTATCAAAAAAAGGGGGTATATGCTTGGTCTATCATATATTCAAGTTCGAGCTTTCTCGGGATAGTATAAGTTGTAAATTTAAGGCGTAAACTAAGAATCGTAAGAGTGCTGGGGAAGAGAGAAAAGAGAGAGAAAGAGTGTGTGTTTTTTTTATTTATTAAAATTTACAATCAATTCTCGCATTGAGAATTTTCTATTATTCAGAATATTCAGAATATTTGACAAATGTGATACAACGAACGAACCGCGTTATTATACGTTACGACCAGTGTTCGAATCTTGTGACGTGAACCTTGGCTATCGGATTTGATTCGGATTTATAAGGACATATCGAACTTGATCCTATCACTGGTTACCACCCTTCTCGTGATCGCATGAAAAGCAGCCGTTTCGCTCGTACAAGGACAACTTGGAAATCCGTGACGATCTTCTCGCCGATCTCGAAAGTAGACGCATTCGAAACTTGAACGCGAACCTGCCCGTGTAATTTCTGATCTCCACCATCGAGAGGGGACATTAACAGCGCTGGTTTACGGTCTCGGCGCCTACCTTCTCCTTGGCAAATTATTCCCACAATCGGACCAACTATCGGCTACGCAATCACCACCACGAAATTGCTTAACGATCGTTTAATGTAATGTTTGCCGCGTTCGAGGAACGTGTCGCTACTTTATGGACCATTCTCCTTTCGCTTGACGACGAAATCGTCTTGCCATTCTATAGCAGTTTCGGATCGTTAGGTGTCGTTATCATACGCTGGCTGCCTCGTTAACGAAACATTCGATTCACTTAGCTCGTCTCGCTTCGGTCGCGAGCGAATTAATTCTTGTAGCTTTAGCAGTTATAATCGTGTCAAAGGCTGTTTATTCAAATATCCAGTCTCCTCGTACATTTAATTGACTCAGCTATTTGTAAAATACAGATTTTTTAATGCAGCGAGATCACGTCTTTAACACGTAGTATCAGAATATCTTGTTTCAGCTTCGAGCTTTCAGCTTTCGCGAACGATCTAGGCATTAATATTATTGAGATATGTATAATTTTGTGTGCTACACTAGATTAGCCGCGAAGTAGTGACACACTTCTAACTTTATTTAATCAGCCGAGGAAGCGATAATAAAAGCGAGGTTAAAAGTACCAAAGCGCATACTGCGAAAGGGAAGACGATCGCCGACAATACAGCTTCCATACGTTTCTACAAAATTGCCAGCTTTCATGTGGAATTGCTGTGCGCTCTGACAGCTCTTCCGGCCGGGACGTCGTTAGAGTTCCGAACGCTAGATTCTCGTAGCTCGACCTAGCAACAAATCTGTCGAAAGTCTTTAGCGTCGGTTGCTAAACATCCGAGCGTTTCGTTTAAAAACGTGATGCAAGCTCGAGATTATTGTCTCGGTACAACCAGGCTGCCTGGCCAAGGGAAATATTGGCGAGCATGACATTCGACCATTTTTCGTATCGCGATAAGCCAGCTCGAAGAGACCTTACTCGGTAGATGGTGGTAAAGGATCGTTCATAAGGTGTGGGTGTTGATTAAGTCGGTAGCATGCAAATCGTTCATTCCCGTGTCTACCTTCCTTCGTCTACCCTTTTATCAGCCAGATAAACTGCCCCCAAGCTGCTCCGTCCCCGCTCTCCCCGTGAAGCGTGCCGGCCCTCGACATAATTATACGCAATTTATCATAATTGAGGACGGTATCGCGATCGCGATCTAGTGGAAACTGTCTACGCAATTGGAGAATACGCCGCCGAAAGATGCACCGGTGAGTTAACATCGTTGGACCGTGACGTGCTTGAAGTAAATTGTGCAATCATCGTCGGTGCATTCTGATCGGTTGCTCTCGCGTATCTTTTTTGTTCCTATTCTGTTTCCTTTTATTTCAATCTTTAGATCAATGCTGTATAGTTTGATCTGTAGGAAGTGTAGTTGCTGCCAGCTGCTGTAGTTGCTGTGAAAAGAGAAGATGTGAAGAGAGAGTGTTGTGCGTTTCGTCCCGAGACTACCGGTGGACTCGTCAGTAAGGCTGTGCCCGGTAGTCCCTGCCTTAGACGTAGAGGGAGTCTCGCTAGGTGCGGTATTTGTATCGTGACAGCGTATATTCGACCGCTAGCGAGACAGACAGACTCGTTGTCGTCGTAGTAGCCCTCTGGCATTGGCGGTTGGTACCCGCGAATCGCCCGGTAGGTGTTACGACCGCGTTGATGCCTCGACCTGTCGGCGCCCTGTTGGTACCGATCTGCCACAGGTCAATCGATAAAATTTCAATAAGACAATATTAACACGTTGACTGTCG